AATGTGATATAGTGATTGTAACTACGCCTGCTACCGTTTTTATACAAGAATAATATTAGGATTGACTCTTTTCTATCCAGGATATGGAACCTAAAATATTAGTTATTTTATCATGCTAACATTGGTTAATGAATTTTATCACCAATATCAACATTTTTTACCTCTAGTTTACTCAGCTAATAGCTTTGTTCGAAATAAAAGCAATATTTCATCTGGAATAACGATGTCAAAGCCTAGAGCGTAAATATTTTATAATAATTACAGCATAATTTAAAGTTTCTGTATTCAATGGATAGGTACGAAACCACTTGACATATAATTTAAGTATTTGTATGTATTTATACTGTTTTAGGCTTAATAATTTAACTACTAATGGAAATTATTAAACGTTCGTATACATTGTTGATTACAGGTGTGATGGTATGGTACGATATATCGGGATTTACTGTTGAATATCATTTGAATCAGTGGCGTCGTACTATAATCATATATACATAAACCTTTTATTGTTATATGCTGTCAGTATATTTCAGTTGTTGGTCCATTATGTTAATTTTTGATGTATAGGGATAAGTGACAGATGTCAACTATTGACACCATTGCCAGCAATTTTTCATGAAACGTGTGGTATTCCTAACGCTAGGATAACTATTAGTTATCAGGTTTACCAAATTTATTAGATTGTTCAAGAGATTGAAAATAAGTTAGCGTCTTTAAATCGCTTTTCCGGTGTTTAACATATTTTTTTTGTATTAGAAAAATAATGATCTCCTCCAAAGGAGGAGAAAGGAGAAAGAACAATGGAGAGAGAACAAAGATCTGTAAGACGTTTTCTCTCTAAGGTGTACGCTTTCTCTCAGTAGTATTCTCTAGGCACGAAGAGCTCTTCAACTCTTTCGTTGGCTAGCCTTCCTTTCATTCTCAGGGTAAAGGAATAAACCAGTAATACAGATAAAAAATCGACGACAGAAATCGTCGATGAAATAGAGAAAGATAACATCCCAACAGAGGTAGAAGTCATCCAAGCTATACAGAAAACGAAAGAAAACAAAGTTCCTGGGGCAGATGGCATTCCTTCAAAACTTTTAAAGCATGGCAAAAAAAAACCTGACATACTGTTATAGATTAAAAATGTTTTTAACAACAAGCCTAGTTACAAAAAGAATTAAACTAGTGATATAGAGAATTCTTATCAAGCCCATCCTCACCTACGCCTCGGAAACATTCACGATGACAAAGAGCGATGAAGAACGTTTAAGTTGAGTGAGAAGGAGAGGCAGACCCAGAGCACGATTTAAGGATCAGGTGGAGGAAGAAAGCCAAGCAAAGCGAAGAATAATAGAGAATGGAGACTTATCCTTGAGCAGGCCAAGACCCGCCATGGGTTGTGGAGCCAATGATGATGATAACAGATAAAGCACAGCAAGAACCACCTAAAGTGCAGCCAGCAAGAACAAGATGGAAGTATGTGTTGTAGCAAGGATTCTACCTAAATGAGACTACAGTAGGAGCTAAAATCTGCGTGTTAAGATCTACAAGGTTAAACGACCAGTTTATGTATAATCTGTAAATCATTGAGAATAGACAGATCATAGTACATGTTAAAACTGTCATTCTATAGGTCTTCTAACATAACATAGTAAATTGAATTAGCTTTGTGTGGAAGAACGGACAATCCGTCTGATAATATTCTCTGCATTTCTCGAACGTGATGGATCTATCCTTCATTAAAAATTGTCTGTAATAGCTAGAATAAAAGATAACAGAATTTTCAAAGAATTGATAAACACTGAAGCTGGTATAAAAATAAAACGCCCTGAATTTAAGCCCCAGGATAAATGCTTCTTTAAGACTGAAAAAAAACAAATTTTTACCTCTGTTATAATTTGTATATTGGACTTCTTGGATGGTGCATATATTTCACATTGGACCTGCAATTTGATTCATATAACCGTTCATCTCATTTATGGTCTACGTATGTATTGATCTTTAGGTAAATACTTTGTAGTAAGGAAGAAACTATAGAGGAGATCCAATATCTACAACATTGTTCAGCTTTACTTTGGAATCTGGTTTGGTTACTGCTTTTGAACTTTACATCACATTGCACAGTTGCAAGAAATAGAATCAAAAATATCAATTTTGCGACTTCAGATAACCCAAACAAAATCAAAATATTTTGAAATAAGAGCCTAGAAAGTAGAGACTAATGAAGAAATGTAGTTAACTAGTAAAAACGAGAGAGAATACTGCTTAAGAAAGATGTTACAGTACTAAACACAATGATCAAGTGAAAAATGATACAAAGGAAAATAAAAATAAGAAATTACAGTATAGTTGTGCAACCATCATTGAATTATTGTAGTGAATGATGGAAAAATAGGAACTGAAAATATTACTCAAAATATACAGAGGAATAAAGAACAATGATGAAGTTTCAAATAGTAGAACTAACAAAGTCGTCACAGGTCTATATAAACAGCCAAGTACAAGTATTATACAAAAGATAAAATTGCAGAAAAAGAGATAATTGAGACATATTTTTGATAAATGCTTGCAAGTAGACATACAAAAAAAGTATTTATTGGGAGAAGGAGGTAGATGATGAAAAGAAAACCGAGAAATAAATGCTCTGAAGAGCTCAAAACTGCGCTGGGGTTCCTAGGAATACCCGATTGACAGAAGAAAAAAGGACAGGCAGGAGTGGAAGAAAATAGTAATGAAAATAGAAGCCATAGGCCTTTAAGCGTGAAGACTTGATATATGCATTTATATAGGGTGAGTCATAACTATTGGGACATAGACTAAGGACAGGTTATTTAGACCAAAATATGGCTATTGGGCCAAATACGCCTTAATAAAATGTTGCTGAGAAAAAAGATACAGGGTGTTAAAGTTAATTTTTGTTTTTCGTTTTTTGCTAATAGTTTCCCTGTATATTTATAAATTGCTATCAAAATTGGCACAGAGGCATAATTTTAGACAAGAAATAGTATTTTATTTACAATTTTACGTTTTGTTATAGAGGGCGCCACGTGGATCATTCCTAATGATCAAATTGCTGCTTAGAGTCTTAAAAAAGGATTTCAAATATTATTTCATTTATGAAAAGTATGCTTTGGACTGTCAGATAATTGTTGTTGGTAAATGTCATTTGATCAGAGTAAATTATTTTTGATGTAACAGTGTAGTGTAATGTTGCATTTTTTTAAAGTAATCATTACTTTTTTTGATTGAAATGCCTCGTCACAATCATTTTACTAATGAAGAAATGCGAGATATAATTTGCGTATACGCATAAGAAAATTTTTGCGGTAGCTCGGCAGCCAGAAGGTATGGAATGTTATACGCAAACAGAAGGCAACCAAATCACAAAACTTTTTCAAGATTATATCGTAGTTTAGGTGAAACTGGGTCATTTCACACTAAAAATCGGGGTGGTCGACCGAAACAAATCACACCTAATCAAGAAGATGAACTTTTGGTTCGAGTAGATGAAAATCCTGAAATAAGTTCACGACATCTATCAGCAGCAACAGGAGTCAGTCAGTCGTCTATAGTTAGAATTCTAAAAAAAAGAGAACCTCCATCCTTATCATTTCACTCCTGTTCAAAATTTACTTCCAACAGATCTTTCACGACGGTTACAGTTTTGCCAACGTATTCTGAATAAACATCGCAGTGAGAGACACTTTATTAAAAATATTATGTTCACCGACGAAGCAACTTTTACCAGACGAGAGGTTTTTAATTGGCGAAATAGTCATTATTGGGAAGAAGAAAACCCGCATGCTATTAAAGCTAGACATTTTCAGCATGAGTTTAAATTGAATATTTGGTGTGGCATTATAGGCGACCAACTACTAGGGCCTTATATTATTCCTCCGAATTTAAATGGAGATTCTTATTTTTTTTTTCTTTTTGGAAAATACTCTTAGGGATAATTTAGATGATCTGTCACTGGATGTAAGAACAAAAATGTGGTTTATGCAGGATGGAGCGACACCTCATTTTCATTAGCTGTTAGAAATCATCTTATTGACGTATTTCCTCAACGATGGATTGGCAGAAGCAGTGATTTTCAATGGCCACCAAGAAGTCCTGAGTACAACCCGCTAGATTTTTATTTTTGGGAACATATGAAGTCCTTAGTTTATGCCAATGAAATTAATACACGAGACGAACTTTGGAGATACATTCAAAATGCAGCTAATCTTATAAAGGTACTAAATAATATTTTTTTAACGTCCGAAAATCATTTATAAAAATAATTAGAAAAGGCAGTGAAATCGAAGGAGACCATGTAGAACATTTAGTTTGAGTTTTTGAGAGTTCTTTTAAGTTAAAGTGTGTTGAGTTTTGATTTATCGTCAAAACGGAAACCTTACGTTAGTTGCAACTGTGTTTATTCGTTTGGTATTTGATAGTGGAATTGTAAATAAAATACTATTTAATATCTTAGATTATGCCTCTGTGCTAATTTTGATAGCAATTTATAAATATACAGGGAAACTTAGCAAAAAAACGAAAAACAAAAATTAACTTTAACACCCTGTATCTTTTTTCTCAGCCACATTTATTAAGGCATATTTGGCCCAATAGCCATATTTTGGTCCAAATAACCTGTCCTTAGTCTATGTCCCAATAGTTATGACACCCTGTATACCTATCTATTAGAATACGGTAGGAATCTATGGAGGAGTATTTCCAAGACGCAAGCCCTTATCTCTTGGCGTATTGTTCCACCATAGACCGGCTAGACACCAACGTATTCTAGTCTAAGCAGCAGATTCATTTAGAATTTCAAACTCGTTCAAACGCATTCCAATTAGAGCATTTCGCTTTAGCTGCCCCGCTGGGTTATATATAATTTTAATTTCAAAAATATAACTTTTTAAGGAACTGCGCACTTAGGAAATTTACTTCTGAAAGGAGGAAGTGTTTTAAATGTTAAAATGAATTGTTCCACCACTGGATTAAAGCATGCAAAGTATACATACCTTGTTGAAAATAATTAGCCTTTCTGACGTAAACACACACAAGTGCCATAAGTTGTAGTTGAGAAAGTCGTTGCCTCGTCGATGGCGGTAATGGCAATAATTCACGTAAATTTGCTATTTCTGCATTAATTAGATCCCTCCTCAATTTGCTGGCTCCTTTTGTTGATTTATTGGCATCGAACCTATAAAGAAAAAATTACCATGTAATTATCATCGGTAATACGAAAAAGTTAGTGAAGATGATATATCTGTGTTTTGGGCGTTTATGTTGAAATCACCATCGGTTTTAAGATATACGGATACTTACAAACCGCACGTATGATGTACGGGATGTTGTATTTCTAATTACAGATTTTACAAATATTTTTGGATTTCATAATTGTCAGAAGAACAACACACTATCTTATAAAACACAGGTTTTATTTGTTTCTATTTATTTCGTTCAATCAGCAACTTATATTGAATTGACGTAAAATAAAACATTGTTTTGTTTTAAGCCGTAAACAATTGGTCCATATATATCTTTGAAAAAGAGGTATCCATTTTGTTTTTCGCTATTTCTTTCACTATATGCCACATTTTACCTTTACGCTTCAATATCCCCTCAATCGCATTACCCTAAGTCTCTTAAGGTCATCCTCGTCTTCTCTTTTCGTCAATCTTTATACAATCAGTATTTTGCTGTTCTTATGTGCAAGATTCCAATCAGCCAGTGGTCTTCTTCCTATAAATTGTTTTATTGATTCAATATTCAGGTCTGTCCTACTTATTTCAGTTATTATTTTGTCTATTCATTTATTTCATTCATAAATATTATGGTCAACAAGGACCTTCAAGATCTCCTTGGTTCACTCCTTTTTTCCAACTGAATATTGTAGACTTTTTATAGTATTTATATTTTTTTACAATTATTATTTTTATAAGAATCACAAACGACCACTCTAGGAGCTCAAACAAACAAATTCCTGTATACTATAGAAACAGTGTTCCAGCAAGAAGTGTTTTGCTAATTTAAAAAATTGCCCTAATATCAATATTTTTGTTCAGGTTTAAAAAACAATATTATATTATAATCTATTGTATTAAGTTGTGTAACACACAATCTGGAATATGGTAGAATGATATAATGAATGATAAACTTTCAAATATATTTATTGAAGGTAAAGGAAGAATGCCATACTTTTTAAACAAGGGTTTGCAGTTGACACGATATTCTGCTGAGTCAATCATTCGGATTGCTGTTTTTTGAAAAGTGAAAATTTTATATGCATAGGACGAGTTTCCCCAAAGAATTATGCAATATGTCAGGATACTATAAACCAAATAAAACCAAATAATTCCAAAATAAACTAACCTAAGAATATCTCTGTAGAAGTAGCCAATCTGCACATGGCAAAAATCTGTGAGACGAGCTCCTTACACAATCCTTCAATATGGTGCGACCAGTTCAACCTTGTATCCATACTAACACCTAGTAACTGTACTGGTTCAGATGGTTTAACCCATCTATCGGAACTAAATACTATTGTCTGGGTTTTCCGCTAGTTTAACTTAAGTTTGTTACAGTTAAACCAGGATTTAGATTTTTCTAATATTTCCTGACCAATCGACTTTACCTCTACATAATAAGGTTGTCTCATCTGCAAAAAGAACACAGTTCGTGTTTTTCAACGCACTTGGTAAATCATTTATATACATTAAGAATACCAGAGGTCCCAAAACTGATCCTTGTGGTACTCCGGTTGAAACTGGTAGAGGATTCGATTCTTGATTATTAAATGCAACAATCTGTGTTCTTCCTGTAAGATATGATTTTAAAAGTCGTGTAAGGTACCCCTTATTCCATAGTACTCCAATTTTATCAATAATATTTGAATATCCACACAATCAAAAGCTTCTGTAATATTACACACATTAATCCATTAGTAGGTTCACCTGCATCAAGACAATGAACATTACGTTCTGTTACTTCTAATAAACCTTTAGTTGTTGAGTATTTTTTTTTTTCTAAAACCAAATTGAGAGCTAAATATAATTAATTTGTTATCCAAATAATTTGTTATACGATATTTAATTAAGATTTCGATAATTTTACTTATTTTTGGTATTATGGTAAAAGGTCTGTAATTGTCTGGAGCATTTTTATTTCCTTTTTTATGAAGTGGAATTACTTTTGATATTTTGAATACATCAGACCAGTAACCCTCGTTAATACATTTGTTAAATATTATTGTTAGTGATTCAATAATTATATCTAGAGATGCCTTAATAATTTTACTGTTAAAACCATAGTAGTCAACACATGAGGAATTTTTAAATTTGTATATGCACTGTTTCACATCAGATGCTACTATTGGAGCCAAGAAGAAAAAACATAATAAAAACAACTGATTATAATGGTGGAAATATGTTTAAATCGCTTTAAATAGAAAACTGTCTATTTATACACATGTTTATACCAGTTTCTCAATGTCAAATAAAATGTACATACAAATTTATCCAGAGATGAATGATTGCATTGATATCGGGCTAATGATTCCTCTTAGCTTATTTAAGTTTGTAGGTCCGTAGAAAAACGACATTAAAGGCAATAAATGCTAGATAACTCAACTACCATTTACAATTCTAATGGAAACCGAACATTGTAAGTCCTACTACCTTGTCTATCACAATTTAGAATCTGTCTAATTAAGATTTGTAAAAGGGAGACACTTGGATCAGCTGAGAAAGTACATGGTTAAAATTTAACACAAGGTACTACACTACTAATGGTGTTTTTAAAACTACTTTAATTGAATAGTCAATGTCGTACATAAAATAGGTTACTTTTTATCAACAACAAAGGAAAAACCGTAGAAAACTTTTGACCAAAACAAGAAGAGATTATTACCAGAAAAGCATTACTTCGTCTGATAATCCCAATCAAATTACGTGGAAGATTGTCAATGGTTTTTCAAAAAGTGCTAATAACAATGCTAATACTTGTTTAATGTATGATGACAATAATATAATTACAGATCCGCAAGAGGTAACATATACTTTTAAAAATGCACCCATTGATATCGTGTCGAAAATTCTTTGTTATAAAGTAGACAAAGACAGTCAGTCAATTATTACAGATCATGAAAATTTCTTTTAGTTGTACCCATTATTGGTTTTGACGAGATACCTACATTTTTGGTAAAAAAGGTTTTACCTTTCATAATCAATTATTTAACTTATCTCACCAATTTGTCTTTTTGCAATGGGGATTTTCCTAATTACTTAAAGACAGGCACAGTAGTTCCCATTTTTAAAAAAGGAGATCCAAAACTGGTCAGCAATTATAGGCGTATAACACCTCCTAGTATATTTTCAAAGATATTTGAGTATGGATATTTAAAGAGATTTAATGGTTGTCTAAAAAACAATAATATCCTAACTATAAATTAACATCGATTTCAAGAAAATAAATCTACTAATACGGCAGTCCATGCATTTTATGCTCATTTAACCAATTTGATTGATGCATGCGAATGTCCTATTAGAATATTTTGTGATCTTAGTAGGGCATTTGACTGTGTCAACCATAAAATATTATTTAAAAAACTAAAACAGATAGGTATTACAGGAAATTCTTTCCAGTGGATTATGTCATTTCTAAACAATAGACAACAATATGTGAGCCTGCAGATGGGGATCGAGGATTGTGTGACCAGCTGTTGATCTAGTCTTGTTACTATAAACATGGGTGTTCCCCAAGGATCTATAATAGGACCAATTCTCTTTTTAATCTACATTAACGACATCGTACAAGTTAACAGAGCGGTAAATTTCACTAGATATGCGGATGATACGTCAATTATTCTATCTAACAAATCCAACGTAATCCTACAACATCAATGTAGTGATTTTCTTTCATCTTTATATTCTTGGTTTTGAGATAACTCGTTGCATTTGATGCAGAAAAAACGCAAGCTATACATTTTCACAATAAACAAAAATACCTGGAAAATCTTCAGTTTATTTTTAACAACATACAAATAGCTACTGGGAAAAGGAAGTAATGCCATCGGAGTGGTGTGAGGCCCGCATAAGCCCTCTGCATAAAAAAGGAGACAAACTGAAGTGTGACAACTATAAAGGTATAGTCTTATTAGACACGGTATACAAAATCTTGGCAAGAATATTGAAATTGGCATGAACATCAGGTCGGCTTTAGAAAGGACAGATCTACTGTAGACCAAATCTTCTCATTAAAGGAGATACAAACGACTTGTTATGAAGGTAAAGTTCCCCTGCATGTTTTGTTTGTGGATTTTAGACAAGCATATGATAGAGTCGATAGAGTCAAAATGTATCGAGCAATGGAACATTTGGGTATACCAAAGAAACTGATCCGGCTAGTTAAAATGACACTTAATAACTCTACGTGTGAAATTGCTTGGAATGGTCACATATCAGATCAACTTACGGTTGCAAAAGGCTTGAGACAGAGAGATCCTTCATCCACTACATTATTCAACTTAGTGATAGAAACTGTAATTAGAAAATGCAGCATGAAGGTGGAAGAAACGATCATGAAAAATGAGCACCACTGCTTGGCATTTGCTGATTATTTAAAGATCGTAGCAAAAACCGAGAAAGAATTAAGAAGAGTTGTGAAGAAAATTATCGAAGAAGCACAGAAATTCGGATTGGAACTAAATGAAGACAAAACCAAATATATGATCATGGGAGAGACAGAAGGGAAAAAGAAGACTTTAGTGTGAGGTCAGTAAGTGGTAAAAGCTATAGTTTTAAAAGGGTGGACAAATTTGAATACCTGGGTGTAGTATTCGATGAAAATGGAAAAGAGAAATGGGAGCTTGAAGCCAGAATAGCAAAAGGGAATAAAAAATTAAGTAGTTTAAGAGCTCTACTGAATTCAAAATACGTTTCTAGACAAGGTAAACTCAGAATATATAAAACAGTAATTCGACCCACAGTAACATATGCCGGTGAGACATGGACATTAAATAAGAAGGAAGAGGATACTCTGGAAAGATGGGAAAGGAAAATATTGAGACGCATATTCGGAAGACGGAAGACAGAAGATGGTTGGGAGAGAAGAACCAACAATGAATTAATGGCTTTATACAAAGAACCTACCATTACCAAGTTCGTCAAGGCACAAAGAGTCAGATGGTTGGGGCATGTGGAA